TATTTACAAGAAATTATATAAGGCAATATATATACATAACATACTATATATACTACATAATATATATAAGATATATATATACATCTAACACATATAAGTTATATATATATATATATGTTAATGTATTATAGATAATATATATAAGGCAATATATATACATACTATATATTGCCTTATATATAGTATATATACTATATATACTACATATATACATACTATATAAACTATATATACTATATATATGTATATATATATAGCTATATATAAGCAATATATATATATATATATATATATATATATATGTATATATATATATCTAGTTTACAAGAAATTGCCTTAGACAAAAAAATTCAAAAAAAAAATAGCCCGGAACGAAAAAGCCCATTAGGCCCGTTTAGGTTCGTGGGCCCGTCCCATTTAGCCCGGGACCATGTGGGCTTAGGCCCACAGTGGGCCGGTTCCACACATTAGGACCGTTAGGCCCGGGACCGCCAAAGACCGGCCCGCCTAAGCCCGGAACCGTTTGGCCTGGCACGTTTGGCCCGTTTAGGCCCGGGCCCGGCCCAGAATACAACCTTAAGAGAATTGGAGGATCGATACGAGCAGACTAATGGTGCTAGGCTATACTAGATCCGAAAAAAGATAAACGACTTGTCCTAGGTGTGCTGGATATTATAGGCTATTATACTAAGCTGAAGAAGCTATCGGAAGAGCTAAATACTTTGAGCAAAAAGACTCATTATAGTTGTACCTGCATATGTGGTGCCAAGGAGAACATGCACAAGGCCGAGCAGGACAGAAGATTGATACAATTTCTTATGGGACTTAATGAAGTCTACACTGTCGTACGTGGAAGCATTCTCATGATGAATCTGCTACCAAATATTGCACAAGCCTTATCACTACTCATTCAAGATGAGAAACAGAGAAAGATTAGGCCAAATAATCAAATGCTATTTGAGTCTGCTTCCCTAAGTGTCAACACATCAAAACATGGTTCTTACAGAACAAATTATGATGCCAATAATAGTTCAACTGGAGGCAATAGGCCTCGTCCATTTTGTGACTACTGTAAGAAGCTAGGACGTACCAAGGACAAATGCTACAAGTTACATGGGTACCCTTAGAACTTTGAAAATTCACACACTCATAATCCAAATAGAGGACAGAACATGAACCAAGCTGAAAGGTTCAGCAAAGGAAGGAGAATAGTAGCTAGTGTGTAGGGGACTTCTTCTGAAGCAATGTCAACTGTAAAAGATGAATCAGAAGAAGGCAATGAGGTCGAGCAAGTCAAACTCTCTAAAGAACAGTATGGACAGATCCTAAACTTGCTGCAGCATTTTCAAATTGGAACAGGAGGAGAAAGCTCCAATTGCACAAAACTATGTCAATGGTGCTGTGAACTTTGCAGGTATATTAGTCCGCAATTCCTCTATTGATTTTAGCAAATTGTCCTGTGAGTGCTTCAAAAACAAGGCAAACTCCTGGATATTAGATTCAGGAGCATCTAATCACATGACCTTCAATATGTCCTTATTAACCAACATTGCAACCTTACTATATCCTATTGGTAGTTCTTCCAAACAGATATAAGGTAAAAGTAACACAAATTGAAAGTGTGACATTGTTTCCTGAGATCATTTTGCATAAGGTTATTTACATACCTTCCCTCAAATACAATCTCATATCAATTCATTCATTAACTAGTTCAACTCCTCATAGCATAGTTGCCTTTACTGATAACATCTGTATTCCGAAGGCCCCTTCAATGAAGAGGCCTCTGAAAATTGGTAAAGTCAGTGATGGACTCTATCTCCTCTGCCAAGGTGTCTCCGGAACATCCACTCAGAATCAATTATAAATAGTTCAATTGCTAGTTCTGTTTCTTCCAGTTGTTGCACATACAACTCACACTGTTTTCATCATTCCACTGTAAATAGCTCATTGTCTATGGATAATTGCACACCTTATTCAGTTGTAAATACATGTTCCCCAAATATTAAAGTGCAACTCCCCATTGTGAATAGTATCAATTCTTCCATTCTTTCAAGTAATGACATAAATGTGTTGTGGCATAACAGATTGGGTCATGTGCCCTTTATCAAGATGAAGGGAATATCCAGTATTCCAACATCTTTCTCACCAAAACAACCATTTACCTGCTCTGTCTGCCTAATGGCAAGACAGGGGAGATTACCATTTCCAGAAAAATCCACTAATTCTACCAAGATCTTCCAACTTCTTCATGTTGATCTCTGGGGTCCTTACCATATGCCAACTCATGACAATTCCATATATTTCATCACCATGGTGGATTATTACAGTTGATCCACCTGGACTCACCTATTAACCAGCAAAACTAATGCCCTACAAGTCATCAAAAACTTTGTGTCAATGATTAATTCAATACCACTATCCAATCTATAAGGTCAGACAATGCCCTAAAGTTTAACAATACAGAAGCAAATCAGTTCTTCCTTTCTAAAGGGATTATCCACCAAAAGACATGCCCGTATACACCACAACAAAATGACATAGTGGAAAGAAAGCATAGGTACTTATTGTAAACAGCTTGAGCTCTCTTATTCCGGTCAAAATTACCTCTAAGATATAGGGGTGAATGTATCCTGTGTGCAACCTATATAATAAATAGACTGCCTTCTTCTCACTTCAAGGGCAAGTCACCATACGAACTACTACATAATAGAAAACCTACCTACTCTCACATGAGGAGTTTTGGGTGCTTGTGCTGTCCTATAGTACCCAAGGTCCACAGAGATAAATTTGAACCTAGAACCACACCACATGTTTTTGTTGGATATACCTTTGGGGTAAAGGGGTACAAAGTGCTCAGTCTGGCCACCAAGAAAACACATGTATCTAGAGATGTATTTTAAATGAAAATATTTTCCCTTTTAGTATGTCTAAGGATACTGTTTCATTTCCCTATGTCCTTCAATCCATTCATTTCATTGATCATGTGTCTAGTGAGAATGAACAAAGTCAAACTAGTGAGTCAAAAGATCAAGGGGTTTCAAATGTCACACATCCAGATTTGTCATCTGATCCTTCATCCCTTTCCTCCAATAATACAGATTCACTTGATTTACATACTCCAAAAGATCCACTAAATGACTCACCAGTAAGATCTGTAAGGAATACCTCACCTGAACATGTCTTGGCACCAAGGCAATCTCATAGAACACACAAAGTTCCCACATACTTGAAGGATTATGTTCACAAACTACCCCAGCTGAAACCAAACACCAATAACACCAATGCATCTCTTTCTGTTAATGCCTTATCCTCTCCCCATATTCACATATCTACTGAGAATCTAAATCAGGATAATCAGTGCCATGTGAGAAGCACTTGTAGTGACAAAGAGCCTAACTCATATGAGGAAGCAACTATGTATTCTGTCTGGCAAGCAACAATGACACAAGAGTTTGAGGCATTGCATGCCAACAATACTTGGGAGTTAGTACCATTACTAGTTGGGAAACAAGCCATATGGTGTAAATAGGTGTATAAAGTGAAGCATAAGGCATATGGACGTATAGAAAGGTTCAAGACCAGGTTAGTGGTAAAGGGGTATACCCAGAAAGCTGGAATTGATTACACAGAAACATTCAGTCCTGTGGTAAAGATTACAACACTAAGAGCTCTCATAGATGCAGCAGTCAAGAAAGGCTGGGACATATTCCAGTTAGATGTGAACAATGCCTTTCTTCATGGGGACCTCCATGAAGAGGTGTATATGGCAGTGCCACAAGGTTTGGTAGTAGATAGTGGACATCTAGTATGCAAACTCAAGAAGTCCTTGTATGGCCTCAAACAGGCAAGTAGACAGTGGTATGCAAAATTGAGTGAAGCATTGTGCTATAAGGGATATACCCACTCTATGTATGATTATTCACTTTTCTACAAGAAGACAACTGAATCAACAATATATGTGGCAGTATATGTAGATGATGTAATACTGACAGGAACAAACAAAGAAGAGATAGAGGAATTGAAGGCATTCCTACATGAAAGTTTCAAAATTAAAGACTTGGGTAAGCTCCACTATTTTCTGGACTAGAAATATTCTATAAAGCTGATGGAGTTGTAATTTCACAAAGAAGTTTGTGCTTGATTTGCTGAAAGAGTACAACTACGTGGATTATAGTAGCCTTGCCTCACCACTTGATCCAACAGTGAAGTTGAAAGCTAAAGATGGGACTGCATTAACTGATCCTACCTATTACAGAAAGCTGGTTGGGAAATTAAATTTTCTCACCAACACAAGAATAGACATAGCCTACATAGTACAATATCTTAGCCAATTAATGAAGATCCAAGAGAACCCCACTTGAAAGCAGCCTTTCACCTGCTTAGATACTTGAAGGGTGACCCCTCCATGGGAATATTCATGCCACATGATCCAAACTATAATATTAGAGCCTATTGTGATTTTGATTGGGCTGCTTGCCTAGAGTCAATGAAATTAGTGAGTGGTTACTTAATTCTACTAGGAAACAGTCCTATATGCTGGAAATATAAGAAGAAAGAGACCATTTCGCTGTCATCAGCAGAGGCAGAGTACATGGCACTCAGAAAAGTAGTAGGGGAATTGGTGTGACTGTGCAGACTACTTGAAGAGCTCAATGTGCCCTTTAGTAAACCAGTAGAAGTCTTTTGTGATAGCTAATCAGCTCTACATATAACAAGAAATCTGGTGTTTCATAAGCGGACAAAACACATAGAAGTGGAGTGTCACTTTGTCAGAAGCAAGCTACAAGAGGGACTGATTTCACTTCAGCATGTAGCAACAAACAATCAGTTGGCTGATGTCCTTACCAAGGTCCTAATAGGAGTGAAGCACTTAACAATCTTGAGCAAGTTGGCAATGTACGCAACACCTCCAACTTGAGAGGGGGGGGGGGGGGGCGGTGTTAAGACTCGCATAATTATATTGTTATATGTTAGTGGTATAGTTAGTGATGTTAGTTAATTATAATTGAGTAGAGTTAGTTGTGTAGTTAGTGGTCAGCTCAACATTAGCTATGTCCACACGTGTATATACTCAGCATAGTAATGAAAAAGAAGTCAACTTTCTATTTTCCAATTTCTGCTTTCATCTCTCATAAACTCTCTCTCGCAGAACTCTCTAGAGGGACTCCATTGGAGCTCCGGATCGAGCTTCAAGCTCATCTTGACGGTCAGATTTAACATTTTTGATGAAGAAGGATCCGTGAATAGTGAAAAGAAAGAAAAACGTAAAAAGAAGTGAGACTGTTAGTGGCTGCTACGGATATTGTTTAACCAAATAATAGAATTTTGACTAAATCTATAATTTAGAAGAACACAGGTTACTGATAATCGCAAGAATGTATAAAAGAAAGTAATTTGAATAGCCAGAATATAATTGAATAAAGCAAGTAAACCAAAGTATATTCAGATGATCTTTCGTGTCCCTACAACTGTTCAGTCCTCTCCTTTTATAGCTATTTCGGATGTAAGTGCCTTGCTTTGGTCATAATAAGGTTATTATGGGCAATAAATGACATTGAATGCTACGTTACATAATCATTACATTTAAGACAGATTCTCTAACGTTTTCAGCATTTAATGCTTATCAAATACTGTATTTGGACCCTCGTATGCCGTCAGATTCATTCCCTTGATTCTTCTTGATTATTGAACTTAAATTTCTTGAATAGGTACGGCCGCTGAATCCTTTAAATAACCGCCCGTGCCTCTTCCTTTGCTTTTGCTTGCATCTATTACTACTCGTGCCTCCTGGCTAACTGTAACTCTTTGACTATTTGACCAGCCTATATGTCATGACACGTCATCTTCACACTTTTTTAATATGTAAACTCAATTTTTTCCAATACAGATAGTCCCCTCACTTGCCATTTATTCATCAATTGAATATTTGGGAAGTGGATTTCGTTAAAACGGGAATTTTTGTCACCATTAATGCTGTGACAGAATTGACACTTCAATTGTCACTTCCACTTAATGCGTTTCACACGTGTCACCTTCCTATTGGTTCTGCAATTTTGCAGCACTTTTCTAGGCTTTCTTTTCGGCTTCCCTGTTCACGAAGTGTCACTTATCATTATTATGGCCCTTG